TGATGCTTCCCCACAAGCAAACATTTAACAGAATTTGTTGAATAATTAATGCTACCATATAGACATCCCTGTAACTCCTTTTTTGTTATTATTAATCCTCACATAAGGATATTTTTCCATTGATTTTCAGAGAGTGAAAGGGAGGAAGAGCAGGGACAGAGAATGAAAGAAACATCCATGTGAGAGAGACACATCAATTGGTTGCCTCCTACACAACATGACCCCGACTGGGGCAGAGGATCAAACCTGCAACCCAGGTACTTGCCCTTGACCAGAATCGAACCCATGACCCTTTGGTCCAAGGGCCAACGCTCTAACCGCTGAGTCAAACCAGCCAGGGCCCTGTAGTTCTTTCTCAAAGGAGAAATATTATAAATATAATAACTATGTGAATGAAAAAATTCTTGCTACGAAAGAAAGTAGTATGCTAACTAGGCCATATTTACATACATATGCTTAATGATAAAATAGCATGCCTCAGTTTTAATAAAACATTTACACATATTTATATACAAATAGACCAAAAATAAGGGGCAGTGGGTTATCCCGTGCCAGAGAAGTAGAAATACAACTCTCTACTAGCCTATTTTACCATATTTTCATTTATTTATTTATTCTTTATTGATTTTAGAGAGAGAGGAAGGGAGAGGGAGAGATAGAAACATTGATGAGAGAACATCGATTGGCTACCTCCTGCATGCCCCCTGCCGAGAATTTGGCCCACAACATGGGCATGTGCCTTGACCAGGAATCAAAACAGCAACCTCTTGGTGCATGAGTCGATGCTCAACTGCTGCGCCACACTGGCTGGGATTACCATATTTTTAATATACATCATATTAAAAATTGGAATCCTGAGGAGCTAAGTAGAATTGTGGCTACCAGGGGCTGAGGAAGGGAGAAATGGGGACTTGTTCAGCAGGATGAAAAAGTTCTGGAGATAAGTTGCAACAGTGTGAAAATGATTAACACCACTGGCTGTACACTTAAAAAAGGTTAAGATAGTTAAGGGGATAAAAAACCTTGGTACTAATACATAAATAGCCATAAACAAATATATATCCACACAGTAGCCCTGCTGCACTAATATAGTGGCTACTAGCCACATGTTACTATTAAAATTTATATTAATTTTTAAAAATTTAAACTTTATTTCCTCAATTACACAGCCATAGCTCAATTGTTCAAGAGCCATATGTGGCTATTTAGGACAGCACAGACCCAGAACAGAACATTTTCATTACTGGCTCAGAATATACAGAAACAAATTCAAATACATATGGGAATTTGTATTCAATAAAAAATAGTGTGTGATAAAGATGGCATTTCAAATCAGTGGGGAAAGAATTACTGAATAAATAGTGTTGGGACAATTTGCTAGCCTGGGGGAGAATGAGGGAGAACTGAAGTAATAAAGCTAAATCTATATCTCAACGTTTATTCAAAAGAAATTGTGAATGAATCAAATATTTGTATTTAAAAGGCAAAATAAATCCTGGCTGGTTTAGCTCAGTGGTTAGAGTGTCAACCCACAGACTATAGGGTTCAATTCTGGTCAAGGGCACATACGTGGGTTGCAAGTTTGATCCCCGGCCCTGATCAAGGTCATGCAGGAGGCAATCAACTGATGTGTCTCTCTCACATTGATGTTTCTTTCTCTCTCCCTCCCTCCCTTCCACTCTCCCTAGAAATCAATGGAAAAATACCCTCGGATGAGGATTAGCCAAAAAAAAAAAGAGAGATAAAATAAAAGATTTTATTTAATTTACTAATGTACTAATTTAATTCTAATTAAGAAAGGTACAAATGTCCAGTTATAAAATAAGTCCTGGGGATGTAACGTACAAGATGGAAAATATATTTAATAATATGTTATAATATATTTGAAAGTTGGTAGGAAAGTAAATCTTAAAAGTTATAAGTTCTCATCAAAAGAAACTGTGTGGTGATAAATGTTAACTACTTATTGTGGTGATCATTTTGCAATATATAATAGTATATCAAATCATTATGTTGTATATCTAAACCTAATATAATGCTGTATATTTCAATTAAAAATAAGAAAGGTTTTCTAAATATAATAAAAGCCCAGAAAACAAAAACAAAAGACTCTTTTTTGTTTTGATTTTTCCAAAAGAAAAATAAAGACTTTTAGATGAAGAATGTCCAAAATGAAAGAAAAGTGGAAGGGGGCACGGAGTATTCCATTTTCCTAATCAATTAAAAAATATAAACTCAGTGGGAAAAAGGTAAATTGAATATGTCGATATACATATGAAAAAATGTTTGATTTTACTTATAATGTAAATACTCTATTAAAAATTGCATTTTAGCCCTAGCCGGTTTGGCTCAGCGGTTAGAGCGTTGGCCTGTGCTCTGGAGAGACCTGGGTTTGGTTCCCACTAAGGGCATGTGCCTCGGTTGCAGTTTGTCCCCGGCCCTGGTTGGGGTGGCGACCACTCGATGTGTCCCTTTCACGTCAATGTTTCTCTCTCTCTCTTCCTCTCTTTCCCTCCTGCTCTGTCTGAACAAAGAATGGAAAAATGCCCTCCGGTGAGGATAAAAAAAAATTGCATTTTAAGTACAGATGGCAAAGATAATCTCCAGTGTTAATGAGAGTGTGGAACAACAGGCACGAATAGATATAAAAACTGACACAGCTTATTCGGGGGTAATTTTAAAATATTTATTAAAAAAAAAAAAATCAAAAGCAACACCCTTGACCAGTTTGGCTCAGCGGTTAGAGCGGCAGCCTGTGGACCAAAGAATCCAGGTTCGATTCCGGCCAAGGGCATGCACCTCGATTGCAGTTTGTCCCCGGCCCCGGTTAGAGTCATTCAGGTGGCAACCAATCAATGTGTCTCTCTCACATTGATGTTTCTCTCTCTCTCCCTTTCTCCCTCCCTCACCCTTCCTTCCACTCTATCTGACAATAAATGGAAAAATATCCTCGGATGAGGATTAAAAAAATAAGAATATCAAAAGCAACAAATAATATTTATAAACAAAATTCTACTGAGTCTAGGATTAACTTTAAAATAACCGGAGAAAGTTGGTATGGATATAAATGAAATAAGATTAAACATACACTGATAGTAGTTATAATAGGGTGGAGGGTGTATTTAGAAATTCATTATATTATGCTCTTCTTCCTTGCATATGTTTGAATTTTTCTAAAAAGTTTTTCCTATTATGCATACCCCTTAACCCAGAAATTCTATTTCTAGGAATTTAGCCTACGGTTACTTGGACAAGCACACAACAATGTAGGTAAAAGGGTGTTGTTCTCTGAGCCAATAAAAGCAAAAACATGGGAACAAACTATATGCCCACTAGAGGACTAGTCAGATAAATTATATTTATCTAAATATAGTACAGTTGTCCCTCGGTATCCATAGTGGATTGGTTCTATGACCCCACAGATAAGATGTTCAAGTCCCCTATACAGAATGGCTTAGTATTTATATATAACCGACATGCATCCTCCTATACACTTTAATAATATCTAGATTACTTATAATATATAATGTAATGTAAATGCTAAGTAAATAGTTGTTATAATATATTGTTTAGGGAATAATATAAAGAAAAAAATGTCTACACATGTTTGGTACAGACAGAACCATCACAGGCCTAACTACATAATACATATTAGCAACAATATAACATTTTTTCAAGTATTTTCCTTCTGTGGTTGGTTGAATCTGAGGATAAAGACCCACCCCCTGTGGATATGGGGACTATAAATCATACTTTCTAAACTATGAAAGTGAATTATATGAGAGAGATTATGGAAAAGGAGGGAAATCTTAAGGGCATAGTTTGATCACATTAAAATCAAACATGTGGATTTGTGAATGTACATGAGATATATGCCCACGTTCATAACAACTTTCTATAAGGCTATGTGCAAACCTCAACAGTGGTTACATCTGACTAGGCAGGGATAAGAGACTGGAATTCTGTGAGGAGTAAACACTTGTTTTTTCAAATATATTTTTACTGTTAATTTCTTTAGCATGTGAACACATTGCATTCATTAGATTTATAATGAAAACATCTAGATTTTTTAAATCTGTTCTCTGCTGAGATGACTGTTATTCATTTAGGAACTGTCACTGCTAAGGGTCAATCCTGGGGAGGAGCCTGTTTCAACACACATTTAAATTTTACAGAGCAGAACAGATAAGCCACGGTAGCTCTTTATTGCTGACACTATCTCAGAGCTCTTATTGTACCTCTATCTCAGCCCTGATGATCAATCTGAAAATCTAATATTATCAAATAATTGCTCTTAAGAAATAAGTAAAGTCCTTCCTGGGTGTTATACAATGAATGATATTTATTGAGTATATATATGCCCAGTTCTGTGGGGAATACAAAAAAAAAAAATAGAATTATAGTCTTGCTCTAGAGGTTTCAAACCTCACAAAAAGAAAAAACATACACACAAGGAACAGAGAACAGTAAATGCCATGCAAACACTATGTGCTCAGAAAACAAGTCAGGTTTGGGGAAAGCAGGAGTGGGGTGGGGTTGGAGAGGGGAGGAAGGGGTCAAAGGGTAAAAAAGGAGGAATATCTGTAATACTTTCAAAAACAAAGAAAAAAAAGAAAACAAGTCAGTGTGGGAAAGAATAGTTGGGTTCATGGAAGAAATAAGATGTCAAATTTGATCTTAATAGACAAGCTGAATTTAGACACACAGAGAGAGGATTATATGAATACGCAGAAATAAAAAATTGAGGTAGTGAGACTCAGTATGACTAAAATTGGAATACAGGAAGAGGTATAAAATATGTAGTAAGTAGGAGTTCAAGGCGGTGCATACCTTAAAAACCTGACAAAAATTAAGATTTTATAAAATAGGCAAAGGGGAATTTTCATCAGTGTTTGGCAGCAAGAGCATGCAAGGTAGGGTAACCTATCTGTATGTCTTTGCTTCCTTTTGGCTTGCTTTCTTGACATGAAAAATAAAATAACAAACATGATTATCAGTACCTCATTTCCAGACCCAGATTCCAGTGGTCTCTTCTTCCTTGGTCCAATAGCAGCAAGGGCTGTGAGGTTAGCATCTCTTTGCTGTATCTGTGCGAGCTCCAACTGTTGTAACTAAAGATGGAATAACAAAAACAAACAAAAAAAGCAATGTTTATCCATAGTCATGCTCACAGGGGGAAAGAAACTGATCACTAGGCCTATTTCTGTGTTCTTCACCAAATTAAGTTACAGTGTAAAATAAGTATTAGATTCTCCTAACAGCCAAGGGCACATCGTTTCCTGATTCATTTACTCCAACAATGTCTTTCGTTCTGAATCTCTAAATGGAAGAGGCAGAATTTAGGTGAAGAAGAAGTATAGAATACAAGGGGAAAAAAGAAAAGAAAGGCAGCTAGAGCTAAATTTCTTAGTTTAAGCATAAGTCAAAAATGCCTAAAGAATAAAATGAGCAGTAAATTGGCCAAACTATAGTCACTCTGTTCAGATAAAAAGAAAATTACTTAAAAATAAAGACAGTTTTTGTATTTTGTGGGAAACAGTTCTATGCTTATAATTTATAAGGCAGTTTACTTAAAATTAACTCATTTAACTCTCATAACCACAATGGAAGGTACATATGAATTGTTATATGAAAATTATAAATATACTTCATTCCTTTTTTTTTTTTTAACTAAGGGAGACACTGAGACACTAGGACATTAAAAAACTTCATAAAGATCACACAAATAGTAAGTGGGAGAAACAGAATTCAGAGCCAACCTTTTCAATACAGCACACTTTCTCACGTACTTACCCTGTATTTATTTTCATGCCAAATATTGAAAGTGAGTACTGTTTAATTGTATAACCATTATCATACTTAACCCAAAATGACCAAACGTACAAGATATAATTTTTTAGTAGGTAGGTACTAAACTATACAAGGGAACTCATGAAAGATGCCCCCATAAATCATATCAATAAGACATTAAAACTGAAAAATTAAAGCATGACATACAGCACCATTTTACCAAAGCCAAGTGTCAAATGGCATTCTTTCAAAAAGCAAGGTGAGGAAGTCAAAAATAAAATAACACCACACAGGTCCTTAAGCTTTTCCAGAAGAGAAAGAATGTTCAATTCCCATAAAAATCTTATCACTATGGAAGAAAAGGAAAAAAGAACATGGCTCTGGTTGCTAAACAAGATCAGGCTCCAGGACAGTCAACTGAAAGTAACCTGCTGGGGGCTGGGGGGTGGGGAGTGGGGGGTGGGGTGTGTGTGTGTGTGTGTGTGTGTGTGTGTTTTAAAGGAACACTAGCCAAATTTTTAACATATGTGAAAAAGAGCAGATGAAAAAAGAAAATAATGTATGGTAAAACAGGCAGTCTCACTAAGATACAAAATAAAGATCACTTCAGATTATTTTAAACAATCACAAAGAATAAACCATAGGTAACCAAATCTTAAATAAAGCAAAAAACATTTTAACTGAAGAAAATTAACTAAAAACTATTTTCTACTTGTTTCACAAATTACAGGGCAATAATCTTTCTTTTAAATTATGAGTTTGTTTATATATTAATTGCTAGCTTGCCTTCTTAATAAAATATATAGTTTTAGAATCTGATGCTGTCATATCCTGAAATTCTAGGTGACAAAATAGATTTGAGTTAATCTTCCCTGTAGTACAAATCAAACAAGCTATATTTTAGAGTCTTTATCTGTTGAGAAATGGCAAGTGTAAAACAGTCACACCAAATTAAGTTTTGAAATTGACCTCTGTCATCAAATTTCTCTCTCCATGTAGTAAAACATTTTCTCCCACTCTGCGAATTATACTTTGGTTGTTTGAAATCTCAAACATTGTATTTTAGAAAAAATTTTAAAACCCAACAAAAATGAAACTGACTATAGTTTTGGTTGGCTTTATATTTATAACAAACGTTCTCAAAAACTATCTTGGTCAGCAAAATACAAAAAAAACTAGGCATTTTTAATAGGAACAGGAAGAAGTTCTGGGCATTAATGCGAATTTGACATACACAGTGGGTAAAGACGACAAGCTAGATCAGTAAAAACAGTGATCCTTGAGTAGGAGGCTTGCTGGTGGAAACAGGATTGCAAATTACATGATTATCTACATTAAAAAACCTCAATTTAGCTACAAAAAAATGAAAACCAAAATCCTCCTACGACTAATAAATGAGTTTAACAAGGTTTCAAGATGCAAGATCAACATAAACAATAATCATCTCTAAATAACATTAAGGTACAATTGGACAAAAAATTTTTCTAAATGCCACTTCTAATAATAATTTTCTAAATGTCATTTATAATAATAATAAATGGAATACTTACATATAAATCTACCATGTACAGTTATTTGTATGTTATAAACCACAAGATAAATGGAGAGAAATGCTGTGACTCAACAAAGATTTCAATTCTCTTCAAGATGATCTATAAATTTAAACACAATTCCAATAATTTAAAAAATAAATATGGATAAACTGATTCTAAATTTTATATGGGAAGGCAAAGGAACCACAACAGCTAAATCGATTTGGGAAAGAAAAAAAAAGGGGAACAAAATTAGAAGAATTACACCACACCACTTTAAGAATTAGTATAAGGTTACAGTAATCCAAATAATGTGGTATTGACAAAAGATAGGCACAGATTAATGGGACAGAACAGAGAATTGAGAAATAGAATCACATGAATGTGGACAACTGATTTTTTTTTTTTAATCCTCACCTGAGGACACCTTTTGCATTCACAGAGAGAGAGGGAGAGAGGGAGGAAGACACAGAGAGAAACTTTGATTTGAGAGAGACACATCGACTGGCCACCACCCACACAACCCCAACTGGGGCTGGGGACAAACTGCAATCAAGGTACGTGCCCTTAGCGGAAACCAAACCCAGGACTCTCTGAACTGTGGGCCGACACTGTAACCACTGAACCAAACCGGCCAGGGTGGGCCAAGTGATTTTTGACCAGAATAGAAAAGTTCGATTGAAAAAGCATAGTGTTTTCAACAACTGTTGGAGCAAATGGACATCCACATGCAAAGAAAAGAAAAAAAACTGTCTTAACCTCAACACCTCACAACTTATATAAACTTTAACTCCAAATGTGAAATATAAACTAGCAAAGAGCAAAGAGAAAATCTTCATAACTTGGGGCCCAGCAAAGAGATTTTAGACATGACACCCAAAGCAGGTTCCATAAAAAACAAGTGTTTTTTGTTTTGTTTTGACAAACTGGACTAATCAAAATTAAAAACTTTTGCTCTATAAAAGAAACATTTAAGAGAACCAAAAGAGGGAGGGGGGAGATGAAGGATATAGGGGGGATAAATGGTGATGAATGGAGACTTGACTTGGGGTAGTAAACACAAAATACAGTGTAGAGATGATGTGTTGTAGAATTGTACACCTGAAACCTGCATGATTTTGTTAACCAGTGTCACCCCAATAAATTCAATAAAAAGGAAAGAGAGAGAGAACCAAAGGACAACCAATTTTATTTCTCCCTCTTCAATCTATATGCCTTTTATTCTTTTTCTTCCCTTATTGTACTAAGATTTATAATGTTGAATATGGGGATAGAAGCAGATACCCTTGTCTTTTTTATAATATTTGGAAGAAAGCAGTCAGTCTTTTCACCATTAAGAATGTTGTTAGTGGGCCCTAACTGGTTTGGCTCAGCAGTAAGAGCACTGGCACATGGACCAAAGAGTCGGGAGTTTGATTCCCAGTCAAGGGCACATTGACCTCAGTTGTGGGTTTGATCCCTGGCCCTTGTTGGGGGCCTTTGGGAGGGTGGGGGTGGGGACCAATCCATGTATCTCCCTCACACTTATGTTTCTCTCTCCCTCTCTCCATCCCTCCCTTCCACTCTATCTAAAAAAAAAAAAAAAAAAAAAAAAAAAGATCAATGGAAAAATATCCTCACCTGAGGATTAAAAAAAATAAGAATGATATTAGTGGTAAGGTTTTAATAGCTGCCCTTTATCAAACTAAGGAAGTTCCTTTTATTCTTAGATTTCTGAATTATTAGTAATGGATGTTGAAATCTGTCAAATATATTTCTGCATTACTTAACATGATCAAATGGTTTTTCTTAGGTTGGAAGATTTTAACTACAGATTGCCTCCCTTACTACCCGACCAGGGCAGGGACAAACAGCAATGGAGGTATATGCCCTTGACCAGAATCAAACCTGCGACTCTTTGATCTGCAGGCTGATGCTCTATCAGCTGAGCCAAACCGGCCAGGGCCATCCCTGCTTCTTTTGAGGTGCATCAGTCAAACAACCAATTTGTACTCCTTTATTTTTTATTGATTTTTTCAGAGAGAGGAAGGGGGAGAATAGAAACATCCATGCCCCCTACATGCCCCCTACTAGGGGTCAGGCCGGAAACCCCGGCCTGTGCCCTGATTGGAAATTGACTGGGACCTCTCAGTTCATGGGACCGATGCTCAAGCCACTGACCCACACCGGAGAGGCCAATTTATATTTCTTAATCCCTTCACCTTTTTCACCCATCCCTCCCCTCAAGTCCTTCCCATCTGGCAAACAAAAAAAAGTTCTCTATGAGTCTGTTTCTGTTCTGCTGGTTCGCTTTGTTTGTAGATTCAATTGTTGATAGATATGTATTTATCGCCATTTTATTGTTCATATATTTTATCTTCTTCCTCTTCAAGAAGACCCTTCAACATTTCATATAATACTGGTTTGGTGGTGATGAATTCCTTTAGCTTTTTCTTGTCTAGGAAAAGTCTTTATATGTCCATCGATTCTAAATGATAGTTTGGCAGGATAGTGTAGTCTTGGTTGTTCTCTGTTTTTTTATTTTCCCCCCTTTTCTTATTTGTTTAGGGTTAAACATTTTTAGTAAATTTCATTTTAATTTATCTATTTTTTTAAAAATATGTGTCTTTTAATAGTTTTTTTTAAAAATTTAGTGGTAGCTCTAGAGATTACAATATACACACTTTAAATTTCAGTCTACTTAAAATCAACATTTTACCACTTCAAGTGGAACATAGACACTTGACCCATATCTAGGTCCTTTTACTCTCCACACTATATTATAGTTATTTGATATATTATACATATGT